GATATGAGAAAGATCTCTCTCCATATGATTTGTATGATTTTACAGGTGTCACAAGTAGGGTGTTATCCTTTGATGATCTTAGGTTTCTCTTGCAAAAGAGAACTGAACAGAAGTCCACACTGACTTTTTTTGCACCATCTAAAAACTCCTTAGAAATGCATAAATAAAGTGGTCCCAGGCGTTGGATCTTGTTCTGTATGTGAGGCATCTTGGTGACATCAGGCGCTCGTAAAAATAATGAATTAGAAGAAAACGGCATTTTTCTTCCCTTTTGGCAATTTTTATCATTTTTTTTCTGTTTAGCTCAACACCTTTTACGTCCATTAACCCTATCCGTACATCGTGTTTTACTATCATATTCATACAACATAGGGAATTCTGTGCCACCACTTTCCAAAGAGGAAATTTACTCGTTAATCCAATCATGCTTTGCATAGCAGTCTGTCAAAAAGATTTTTTGAGAAATACTGAAAGTTTCAAAGAGATCTTTGTACTAGAAATATAAAATGCAAAGAATACAACCCCAGGGGTACAAAATGACCACAGGGCGTACAGTTAGGGTTAAAAAACACATTGCTGTGTGGACTTTACTGAAAAACTTTGATATAGGGCACAGAATGTACTTAAATTTAGAGTTTCCAAGGACCCTCAAGCTATGGAAGTCACCAAACTTTGCGTCCATTTTCTCGCTAATTTTACCTCCGACACCAGGCGACCCCAATCTCCTTTACTCTAAAATATCTCGACTCCTATTGAAAATAAAAGGGTGACTTTTTTCATCGAAAGTAAGGCTTTAAGATGATACCAATAATTCCATGTGCCCAAAAAGTGACGAGCGCCTGATTCCTCCAAGTCGTGACACATATACCAAGGAACATACATGTGAAAAATTTGAGATGCTGGCAAGAAACAAAGAGTTAAATTAGAAAAGCAATTCAAGAAGAAGTTGAGAATAATCTTCAAACATATTGTAATCCTACCAAAGATCTGCAAAATATCAGCAACAAAGATAGTTGGATGGTTATGCTTTGGTATGCGTTTTAGGGCACTCACAACTGCATAAGGTAATATGAAAGCATGGGACACATTTAGCACTTTCAGTTTGGTAGGAATTAATTTTAAATTTTGCCCGCAAGACGGCTGAAGCCTACTCTTATCGATTTTAGGATCACCAAGAGATCTTTACTGTGCGCAACTTGCACCTGAGACCTCCGAGATTTTTCGCTCTTATCCGAGAAGGCTAGGTGTTACATCTTACCTACCCTAAGATCAGGGGTGTGGCTGAAAGACAGCCGTAAGATGGAGCCAAGAAGTAGCAGTAGAAAGGCTGCAGAAAGAGTCCGGAGCCAAGAGCAGAGGGGCAGGGCAGAAAGTGGAGACAAAAGCAGACGACAGAACATGGTTAGAGAAAAGGAATAGAGGTGAAAGGAGAACATTTTTTTAGAAAAGAAAATTTTCCATCGCTGTCAGGTATAAAACCTGGGACCTATTGAATGAGAGGCAAACACCATACCTCTAGACCACGAGAGCCCCCAGTTAGATACTGTGATAGTCATTTTCGGATAAGGCGAATGTCAATACTTTTTCTTACTTAAACTTTAAAAAAGGATATGTCTCATCAATGGTGTTCCTCGTATGACCTGTGAGAGGGGAGAGAACACTTTTGTCCACAAATGGAACCATGTGTGTTTCCCATAGTGGAACAGTGTTTCATTCTTAAACCCTGGGTCACATAGGGATAGATGAGACTTTCAAAATTACAATTAACCCTTTGCTTACCAACTTTGTTCTCTGATGTCCCTGTAAGAATAATGTTCAATGAGCTTTTCTGCAACTGTCTCCGAGTTGGATTGATTACAACTTCATCATCCACAACACCAACTCTCACTGCAGCTGGAAAGATAAAGAAAAGACTAATATAACTTTTCAGTGGTGTAAAAACATTTTTAAATTGTTGAAAGGCTCAGTAAAAGTGTAAATAAAGTAACAGCTTTGCAACCAGCTCAAAAGACAGACTTGAATCACAGACACCAAAGCAAACTATGGAAACTGTGATAAGTTACAGCTCTAACTGACTCATAATACTCATTGGCCCCGAGGAACTTTATTGAAATTTTCAAGGAGCCATTTACAGTTGAAGCACACTTATATAATAAAACTTGGTTGCTGTGTCAGAATTTTAAACTTTTTCTCATTTCATGAAAAAAATATAAGAACATTATTTGAAGTCCATTAAAGTATTGAACAATTCTGATATAAGAGGATCACAGGTGTCTTACCCACTGGTCCATTCCATGGAATGTCAGATACAGCAAGGGCAGCAGAAGCTAAAATTGGACCAGATAAAACAAAGCTTTGTACATTTCCTACCATCAGCAATAAACAACAAAACATAAGAATCATTTCTAAAAAATATATGAAAACAATCAACATCAGCAACAAACAACAGTAGTTGATCTTCCAATTAAGGATAAATGAAAGCGATTACACAGCAAAATCCTAAAAACACTGACAAAGGGAAGAAAGAATAGACAAGACTACAGTGTTGTTAAAATTTCGTGGTGCAACTTACTCGTATTGTGAAATATTTTACAAACTATCGAACATAAACTCTCCAGCTTTTGCACAATGACTTGTGTCTATTTGTCTTAATTGATCAATAAATTTTAGTAGACAAATGTTAGCTGTATTCTAGAAAATTCCATAATAAATAATAAATACTAATAAAATATTCAAATGGGTGGTTTCTACAGATTAAAAAAGTTTTACAGCAGGGGCAATATCGTTTTTTAAAAAAAACTCTATCATTTTTTTTCTAATCGCAATATTATACTTCTTGAACTCACATCATGAGAATCTTTAGTGCAAAAATGTGTTCACTATAAAATTAATTTCTTGTATCAAAGTCATTGGTGAGCTATTGCGTAGGTCATATGCATATATGTAAAATGTATGAGAAAAGCAGGAAGTGCTGTGAACAATTCCATTTTCCCCATGACATGGTATTTGACATAAATTTTTTAAAAACCCAATTTTTTGTTGGGTTTTAAGGCACTTGCAACTGCATAAGGTCATATGAGCACGTGGGACACATTAAACATTTTCAGTGGGTAGGAAATTTCGAATTTTGCCCAGGTGGTGCCCGAAGCCTACTCTTATCAATTTTAGACCACCAAGGGATCTTTAGCGTGCGCAATTTGCACACGGGACCTCCGAGATTTTTCACCCTTGTCTAAGAAGGCATGGAGTAGATCTTTCCTCCCAGAAGATCAGGGGTGTGGCTGAAAGACAGCAGTAAGAAGGAGCCAAGGAGTAGCAGTAGAAAGGCTGCAGAAAGAGTTAGGGGCCTAGAGGAGGGGGCAAAGGAGGTGAGGGGGTGTGGGCAGAAAGTGGAGACGAAAGCCGATGACAGAACATTGCCAGAGAGCAGGACAATTTTAGAGAAGAAAATTTTTCCGTTGCACCCGGATTTGAACCCGGGACCTTTGAATAAGAGGAGAACACTTTAACCTCTAGGCCACGAGAGCCCCCATATATATATATATATAAATTTATGAAGAAAGGTTTTCCAATCTAGCCTAAATTGTTGTGGAAAAACGATTAAGTTAAGACAAATTGATACAAACTTCTGTGCAATGTATGGGTGACACTGATTCACATGTTAAAGAGATATTTGAAAACAAGTTGCGCCATGAACTTTTGATGGCACTATAGCCGCCATTAAAGTCAAGTCATAGTCTGTATGGCGATTGGTTTTAAACCCCCATTGTCACAATTTAGATCATTTAAGAGGCAGGCTTTGAGAATGCGCCGGGGAACAGCGACTCATGACGTCATTTTACCGGGGAACAGCGACCGGGGAACAGCGACTAGTATTTTACTATATTTCTTTGTTACAGTTGAACTTGGAGTAATCGCCTACAGTATCGAATACAATCAGACCAAACATGTTACATTTCGTCTCGATTTTCAGTAAGCTTAATAGAGCTCAGTCAAATCTCCCGCCACTCTGTTCCTAAGGAGGAACAAAATAGAGAGAAGTTGATAACAGCGTAAAGCAATAAGGAGATGTCGCAGAGAGAATTATAAAGAAAAATTTCTTTTAAAATGCTGTGAGATCAGTAGCAAGTTTGAAAACAGTTTCCAAAATGTTCTTTAAGTTTGAACTTTTGTTTTTCTCTTTGCATTGTCCTCTTCAGGTGGATGTCATCATTTTCAGTTTAGATGCAGCGATTGCAATTCTCTGTTTCATCTTTGTTTTCCGATTTGGTATTGTTTCTACATGATTGGTCTATCATACTCCTACACGATCATACTCTTACTCACATGATCACACACACACACACACACACACACACACAGACAGACAATCACATAAATTTATAATTGGTTTTATTTGATTAAACATATATGCAGGCGTGTGTATCGGCAAAGTACAAATACAATTTTAAAAAATCACCAAACAAACTGACAAATAAACTAAAAAACACGCACACGAATTTTAAAGGGAGTCATTAATTTATGAAGCACAGATGTACGTATGTGTATCATTAAGCGAAAATAAGATGAAAACAAAAACACCAAACAAACAAACAATAGATGAACAAACATGCACAAGGATTTATAATGGAAGTCGTTTTATGAGGCATACAGTATACATGTACGTGTGTGTATCAGTAGTGTAGAAATAGAGAGAGAAAAAAAGAAAACAAAAACAGAAACAAAAGACAACCAAACAAATAAAAACACACTGGCTCACGAATGGGTTTAAAAAACATCCCTGGGAACAATCAGAACCAAACATACGGGGCCCTGATCGTGGTCTAGAGGTACGCGTTCGCTTTACATTCAACAGGTTCCAGGTTTGAAACCTAACAGCGACGGAAACATTCCATTTTTTTCTCTAAAATGTTGTCTATTCACCTCCTTTCCTTTTCTCTAGACATGTTCTGTCGTCTGCTTTCATCTTCACTTTCTCGCTCTAACCCGGCCCACCCCCGGCCAGTGGGCTCCTCCTTCCTTTGCTCCTTACTATTTCTACAAGTACTGCTTCTCCTTGCTCCTTCTTACTACTGTCCTTCAGCCACACATCCCTCATCTTAGGGTAACAGTGACCGAACTTTTGGCTTTCTCGAAAGGGAAAAAAATCTCGGAGATTCCATGTGCAAGCTGCGCACTTTAAGCTCTCTTGGTGGTTCTAAACTCAATAAGAGTAGGCTTCGGCTGCCACCAAGGCAAAATTCAAAATTAATTCATATAAGAAACTGACAACACTCTAGTCAGTATAAAGTGATAAACAATACCTTCGAAATCTGAATATGGCTGCCTGAAAGCAAGAGGCCCTACAAAGTATAAAAAGCGGTCACATACGTAAAAATCAATTGTACTGCAGGTTGAAGAACCAACGGTCGACTTCCCCTAAGATCTAGAGGAGGAGGAAGAAGAAGAAGAAGAAGAAGAAGAAGAAGAAGAAGAAGAAGAAGAAGAAGAAGAAGAAGAAGAAGAAAAAGAAGAAGAGCAAGAACAAGAACAAGAAGAAGAAGAAGGTTAGGCTACCGGACTCGTAATCGTGAGGTTGCGGGGTCGGGGGTTCGAGCCGCGGGCCCCGACGTTGTGTCCTTGGGAAAGGCACTTTACATGAATTTTCCTCACTTCACCCAGGTGGGAATAGGTACCCGGCCATAGATAGCGAAAGATCTTGTCAGTATGTTAGTGTTTTAGCACCTATAAATAGCTGATTGCTCTGTATGTTTCCCAGGAACTTGAGTTTGTTTCAGAATGCTCTCAGGTCTGCTGAGGTAAAAGTATAGATTGTGAAGCACATAGAGCTTACTGTTGGGCTGTGATTTGTGCTATACAAATGCCATCTATTAATATTATTATTTAGAAGAAGAAGAAGAAGAAGAAGAAGAAGAAGAAGAAGAAGAAGAAGAAGAAGAAGACGAAGACGAAGAAGAAGAAGAAGAAGAAGAAGAAGACGAAGAAGACGAAGACGAAGACGAAGAAGAAGAAGAAGAAGAAGAGGAAGAAGAAGAAAAAGAAGAAGAAGAAGAAGAAGAAGAAGAGAATCAAACGTCAGAACAGCGTAATTACCCTGAGCATGATGCATAGATCAGTCAGAGGTTCCTAGTGCAAAGCGTGAGCTTGACATTGTGTTTACTTTTAACAGGGTAACAGCGACCCAGAATTTAGACCAAACAATGCTTCCTCCTTTGTAGAATCAACCGCAGATGGCAGTATCTATCGTTTTCTCAATGAGCATAGGAGAAAAGCATCTGTCATTGGGGACAGAACATGATGAGTAAATGGAGTACAATTTTTAAATTTTTTTTTAGGTGGGGGGGGGGGGTCACAATGTTTTTGCTAGGAGTACGTGCCATGGGGAAAGGCTGAACGTTAAGCAGCTTTTTGAGTAAATATGAGCTCAACTAACAAAGAAGAGTTGGATTTCTTACACCCAGTCACCAGATATAAGTTGAATACATGTTCTACTGTACAGTGGCATCCAAAAAGAAACTTGAAATGTAATCACCTAATCATCGTGTTAAAACCTTGCACTTGTATACCCACTCATGTAGCATGCCAATTTAAAGCTAATTAAATCTTGCATCATCTGACACAATAATATTTCACTTATGTAAAGAGATGCTCGAGATATGGTCACTTAAATCTGACCGTAAAAATCCAAGCTTGGTAAAATTGGGCGAAATCAAAGAAACGTAAAAGTGTGTTCGCCCGTGTATTGAAGTTCATCAACGTTGGTGGAATGGATATGTATTGAATATCAAATGAAAGGGAAATATTATTGTCTCTGCAATGAGCAGCATCTTCTGAAATATATTTTCAAAAAAGTTAGAAAACAGATTACTTACAAATACCATGCTGAACTTAGATTTAACATTGCATATGCTCATTAGTATGATTTTGTTTTTTGTTTAGGAGCTATTGGTCTTCTTGTAGAGCACAAACCTTTTAGAACATGGCTGTGTAAGTTAGATTTTGGAAATTTTGGAAAAATCGTCTGTCAGTGAAGAGCAGAATTCATGAAACTGTCATTTTTTTGGGGTGGTGGGACGGAATGAACAAAATCGTCCGCATGTGAATCATCGGATGGCATGCTTTAGTTGAATACATCGCGCAAGGGTTGGAATGTCATGTCTTACCCTTATTTCCCTCATGATGTCATTCAAAGTAGACATCTCCATTCATGGCAAATCACACTCTAATTGGGCCAATATTATCACGAGACAATTCTTGGAAAACTATATCATATCAACGATGGAGTAGTCACCAGTAAATAGCCCGATATGAATCCTATAGGTATGTGAAATCCCAAGAAACAGCAGCTAAAGAAAATTGACGTTGCTCCCAATTCAGACCCTTCGTTTGCAACCATCTGTGGCGTCTGGGATAAAGTGACTGATAATTGTCCAAAATTTAGCAGAGTCGATGCCCTATGGGTTCGTGCACTACACAAAACCAATGGCTCCTACGCAAAATAACAATGAGCACATTTAATGTTAAGTCCAAGTTTTTATGGTAATTGTGATTGCTTTGTTTTCTGTTTTGTTTAAAATTGAAACTATCGACATTAGATGTTGTTTATTGCAGAGAAACAAATTCTCCATTCATTGGATATGTAATGTATGTTCATTTTATCAATATTGATGGTCTCCAATACACGCGTGAAGATAACGTTTCTGTGATTTCGCACAATTTTGCCAAGCCTGATTGTTTACGGTCAGTTTTGAGTGGCCATAGTATTATCTCGAGCATATCTTAACTTAGATGAAATATTATTGTGTCAGATGATGCAGAATTTATTTAGCTTTAAATTGGTATGCTGTATGAGTGGGTAGTGCAAGGCTTTAACCCAATTATTGGGTGATTACATTGTCAAGTTTCTTTTGGAACCCACCGTATAATACACGTGCGGGTGTGTTATACCCTGATGTCGGTCAAATGGATATAAATACGTTGCCGTAAAAAGTGTTAATATGTAAAGCCCAAGTTACTCTCAGCGATAAATCGTATTACATTCTTCGTATAGTAGAACTGTCAGATTTATCAAACTCCATATTCTGTTTAAACGTTTTATAGAGTCCAATTCCCTTTAAATTGGGGGAGATTCCTTCTTCTTGCGCCGGATGACTCTACGCAACACTTTGCCTGCATTCTGTGTGTTGTTACTTAACAAACATTAAAAAAGAGGCCCATGAAGTTATTAGTTGCAAAATCTAATGGCACAAACTCTCCCTACGCCCTCTCTTAATAATTTGTTATTGTAGTCTCTGGACTTAATCGTCCACAGACATTCGAGGGATCTGTAGGCCTCTACATCTCAATAAAGAGAATAACAAATTCTTTCGACCAAGTCACCATAGGCCTACTGTACACTGTACGGTGACAGTGCAGTAGTAGATAGACTAGTAGATATATAGCCTAGTGTGCAGTGTGTAGTCCTAGCAGCTTTGACGTCAGATGCACTTACAACGCACTGGGTGACCTTGATACCTAACTTTAGATTGAAAATAGACAATTGAAAAACAAAGTTTTTCTCAAGTTTTAAAATATGGCATCAAATCAGGTTCCACGTGAGCCACATTGCTTATTTTGACACGCCGATTTCGAAAATGAAATCAGTTTTTAGCTGCGATTGTTATTTTGAAAATTCTGCGCACAAAGTTTAATCCCGCGCGGCGGCAAACATCAAAGGAATTTTGCGTCACAGCCTCCCACTTGTCAATTCACGCTGAGGAAGGGGGGGGGGGGGGGGGGGGTCTATTATAAGATCAGTTAAAAGAGACTGTTGTCTGTCCTCTTCATGATAGGAAAATACTACAAGATGCAATCTTGGTAGAGTCTATATAAAATACTTCTTTTTGTGATCTTCTAAATCCAGCAAGAAAAACGGTCAACCGCGAGTTATTTTGTTAATTTGGACACGCTGGTTCCGAATTTGATATTATTTTTACGATTAGACATAGTTTTAAATATTTATTTTAAAGTCTTTTTGTCGGGCCGTGGGTGTATCGATACCAGCATCAATACCATCACGACGAGGTATTCGCTTAGGGCAGTCGCTGTTCCCCGGACACATTTTTTCCTGTTTTTAAAAATAGAGTCGCTGTTCCCCGGTGCTCCAAGGCTTTGATTCTGTCTATTAGGGACAACCCAGGCTGAGAGTAATGCAACATCCCAACAGAAAGACGGAGACACTTAATAGAAGTTCTCCTCACATAGGAATCAAACTCAGGTCTGCTGCGCGCGATGTCGGAGCACCGCTGATGCCAGTTTAGAAATATATACCATCTCGGCGTTTAACATCGGCGATGAAAAGACTTTTAAGACTTGTCCAAAGCAAAAGTCAGAGACTCGGAGGGAGAGCTTTTTCACACCATGCCCCCTCCTTGTGGAACGCTTTACCAGCTCATCTACGAGAGTCCACCACTTTATCAAAATTTAAATCAGTACTTAAAACGCATTTGTTTCAGTCCAGCTTCAATCTGTAATTTCCAACATTCCCAATACAAATATTATTCAGTATCTATTATGTTCTCTCAGTATCGTTTATTCATGCTGTTCTGTTCTGTAAGAATTTATGACTGTGTGAATTTATCAATGTGTGCGAGGGTGTCTGGGTAAGCTTTGTGGGATTGTCTTTACTCAAGAATGTACTGGAGAGAAAGAGAGAGAGAGAGAGAGAGAGACAGAGTAAGACTAGTGAGAGAGAGAGAGAGAGAGAGAGAGAGAGAGAGAGAGAGAGAGAGAGAGAGAAAGAGGATTACTATAGGAGCTGTGCGCTTCATATGTTCTTTGTATTATGGTACAGCGCATTGAGCACTTCTTTGTGGAAATGCGCTATATAAATGCAATTTGTTATTATTATCATTATTATATGAAGCCCAATATCAAATGGCAAAAGAAGTAGAAAGAGAAGTCCATACCAGAGTGCCTACCTACCACACTTATGCCGGCAAAAACGCCTGTTCGTCATTTGTAGGGGTGAATTTTTTTAAACCGTGATAACTATAGAGGCTAAGGGAACAAGTACTTAACGATCATTCAATGCATTGAGGCTACTGTAAACAGCCAAAAACTATCTTGACTTTAAACTCCATAAACCATTCATGCCACAACAACGTCCATGTGTATACCTACTGACCCCCAAAAAAATCTTTACCCGTCGGAAATCCTTTAACTCCACACTAAAAAGCCCAATTCACACAAAAGTTGACAGGAAGCAATCTGAACCATCCGGGAGGAGAAAATATACGTAATAAAGCCTGACAAAGTGTATGAATGAAATCTCCATCACTTGAAAGTCACTGCCTGTGTTGCCATGAGCCGCCAGGGAATCATTGGCCCATATTTCTTCATGTCACGTCCGACTGTTACCTCAAGATGTTGACCAGGTTTTGGAGAGCTCTGGGGAGGTTGGTCGGACTGGAAGTGAGAGCAGAGAAGTGTTTCATGCAAGATGGTGCTGCCTCACACACTACGAGAACTGTCCTTCGGTGGTTGAGGGACCACTTTGACGAGAGACTTATCAGCAGTGGCACAGTGAACCCCTGGGCTTCTCTTCTCACAGTCCCGACCTCAACCCCCTAGGTTTTCACCTTTGGGGGCACATAAAGGACAAAATATGGGGCAGTGACTTTCAAACCTTCCAGGAGCGGAGAGACACTGTTACCACCAACGTCAGAGCCATTCCCTTGGAGCAACTGGAACATGTCATAGACAATTTCGTCAAGCGCCTCAGAGCGTGTATCCCACGAAACAGACGTCACATGGAGCGTATGCTCTAACTTCCTTCAAAGTTGGAATTTTTATTCGTAAATTTGTCACAGTAAATCTGTATGGTGATCAAGTACACCTGTGGAATCTTGAGTTTCTATCTCTATTTTAACCGTTTTTATGGGAATCTCCGTGGGTAAAGGTTTTGTTGGGTCACCTGGTACTTCAGCTAGGTTCTGAGGTTGTTTTTTCAGACAAAGCAAGAGTAAGCTACAATTGCAGCTATGTAAGCTACAGAATTGCCTACATGAGAAAGAAAATAACAGATACAACACCATGAGAATTTGACATACCTGCATTAATACTGATAATGTCTGGATCATTGGCACCATCAACTGCCAGCAAATTACACATAACCTTACGAAAGAAGAAAATAAGAGTAATGTTTGAACATGAATTGCTTATATGCAAATGTGTCCATGATTGTGCAATGCTATTTGTTTATGTCAGTTCATTTGACTATTAATTTATACTTTTGCATATCAAACGTTGCATTGCATGATGCCAAAATAATAATACAAGAAAGTTCAAATTCAAAACAAGCATTGCCATAATGTCATAATTTATTAAAAATGTAGTGTAAGGCTAATAAAGAAGAGACACGCAAAACTGTTTGGAACATACCAATGAAATGTTCAAATTCAAGAGGAGAAGAAAAAAGGGGAGGGGGAGGGGGAAAAAGGAGAGGGAAGTGGTCAGTAAAATGTGTTTATAAAATCGTATTAGGATTTTACCTGTGTATTGTAGTAGAATCCAGCAGGAAACAATGGACGCAAAGAGCGATCTGGAGAAAAAGATATATTTTTGGCAGTTCATACCAAGTAAAATTGTAATAAACTTAGTGTTTAGCATTGACTTAGCAACTATCATTAATTAATGTTTAGCGTTTAATATAACTATCTCTTCCATCATAAAATATATTTCTCCGAAAACTCGGTAAACTAAAACCTGTAACCATTATTTCCACAAACCTATAACTCTGCTTGTCAGGATCTCCTTTGCAGAAGGACCAAGTTCTCGACGTAAGTGATTTGTAGGAATTCTACCAGCTGCAGCGGCTTTTTGTCGAAAGTCTACCTGAGATCAATAAATAGAGAAAAAAAATGCACACATCACAGGAGGTTATTTTTCAGTCGGAATAGTGATAAATAAGCTACAAATATAAGTAATAATAATAATAATAATAATAAATGACATTTATATAGCGCTCAACCCCGAATAAAGTACACAGGCTCTGACCGCTTTACAATACAGTACAACATACAACAGTAACATGAAACGTTGTGTTCTGACTAAAGAAAATTATTCCAAATATTCATCTTATTAATTTAAAAACAGAAACGACTTCAGCTGACATTTGAATGAATCAAAAGATTTGATTTCTCTCAACGTACTTGGTAAAGCATTCCAGATCTTGGGGCCTTGGTATTCAAATGCCCTTTCACCCATTGTTTTAAGTTTCATAGATGGTAAAATAAATTTTTTTTTGTCAGCTGATGATCTTAAACTGCGAGTTGGAATGTACAGTCTTAACAGATTCGATAAATATGATGGTGCATTATCATTCAAACATTTGTGACATATGGTGGCCAACTTGTACACAATCCTTTTCTCAACAGGAAGCCAATGCAAAGTTCGCAAAAGAGGTTTAGCAGATTCTCGCTTTCTTTTCCGTAAAACTAAACGTGCTGCATTGTTTTGGACAGTTTGAAGTCTTTTAACTTTCTCCAGTGATATTAAGTAACAATTATTATTACATAACAAAAAATACTACAGTAAAGAAACACCAGTACTACGAAGAAAACAAGTACTTTAAAAGCCATTCCAACTCTTTATCTAATCATTAGGAATAAGAAACCCAAAAATGTTTGTTTTCCAAATTTTAAGGTAAGAATTGGTCAACAGAGGACATAATGCGCAAAAGTTTGATCATCAGTCATAAATAAAAATGAATTCTTAAATATCTGAGATTCCAGTGTAAAAGTAAAGACATTGAAAAAGAAACAATGAGCACACAAGGAAATAAATTAAATATGTCCATCAACTGACAGACAAAACTTACAGTCAGAGGTAGAAAAGACTGTGTACCGGACTGTCTTTGACTGACAGCTGTGACTAGGACAGAAGTTTCCCCAAGCTGAAAAAAGAAGAAAATAAGTAAACATCCATATTCCATATTACATTCGGTGTTGATATGTTTGTTTAGTTATTATTATCTATGCTCATTTCATTCTGGTTTCTAACTCCATGCTACTGCAATGAAAAGGACCGGATTATTTTCAGTGACATTTCTCTCCTCCATCTTGAAGCCAGTTTAACCATCATTCAACAGGACACAAATTTATAAAAAGCTTATTTCATCTAGAGCCAACAGCATCAATCATCACAAAAGTTCACGAACAAAGTAAGCTACAAATATACCGCAGACATGACAAATAAGTGCATGGATATGAGTAAAGGGAAAGTAGTTGAAAATAAAAGAAATATAATACATACAAGAAATCTAATTACCATAACAAGGAAAAGACGTTAAGATGATAATAAATGAAGAAAGACTTACACAAGCATTAAATCATTACAATAATAAGAGATGCAGGATGCGGTTCCTGTATAGTTTTTATATACCTGAACAACAGCAGCACCATCAGCAAATCTGGCCATTTTCCCAGAACTGAATCTCATTGTGCTGGAAAACAGACATGTACAATTGATAAGCAAAATCAAAGAAATGGACATCAATATAATGCACCCCAAACCTGCAATTTACCTATGAGTTATCCTAAAGTATTTCGCAAGACCGTTTATCTCCATTTTTATATCTCTAGCAGGATACCAAGTTACTTTTAATTCATCAGATTTTTAAAACATTTTCCCCTCGAACAGCCTGCAGAGCATAAAACCTTTGTCCCGATGTACCAAAAAGCAGATGGGAAACATCAGTACTATACCTGTGTCTCAGTTGACCAATTTCCCCAAGCATCTGTCATAACGCATCACTGAGTTATGATCACGCCAATTAAAATTCAGTCTAGCTTGCAAATTCGGGAGTTGAGACAACTGCTGTAATGGTCAGGGAACAGTTAATAATCTGATGTGATCCTGCCTTGATCCAGAGCGAATTTGTAGGCCCTACCCACCCAGCGTGTGATGTAAGTTTAGGGGGAGAGCTCAGACGTAAGTGTGATGTTTGGGGAAAACAAACGGGTCAGTGAGTTCACACCTTGCCTTAGATCCCATCTGGGGCAAACACTGTGCTGTTTCATTAAGATTTACAACAGACATACATGATGTGATCACATTCACGAGAATGGCAGATCTGTGATGCAAAAGGCAATTCAGTGATTGCAAATTTTGACTCTTGGTTGATCTGCTGTGCTCCCCCTCCCCTCTTTATCTGAAGTGGGATCTTAGCCGATGTAAACCTTCAGAGCGGGATCTTAGGGGAAACTTTTGTGTAGTATAAATTCGGTTTTCTTAAAACAGCAGGATCTTCAGCGAACTGGGATCATAAATGTTGGGATTTTAGGCGGAGACTACAGTACCAATATTCCAAAGTCATTTTGTCAAAGTTCAACTGATGAAAATTCAATAAAATTGTCTCCTGCTCATGGAATATGAAATGCAGCCTCTCTCAGGAGGTCGTTTGTTTTCTCATTGCAAAGACATAAAACGTTGCGTCATATGCAGCTACAGAAAGCAAATGCCAATGCGCATTTCCAGGCAATTCCAGCCACAAAAATACTTTATCAGATTTTCTTTTAAATTCATAACTTTTGACACTAAAGCCTAAAAAGTTTTTTTTTCACAATGTGCACTGTCACTCTTCTATAGTACTAGATTTAGTTACACCACCCTTTACAAATAACATCAGATATACACCAGGATTCTACAACAATTTAAAATGTTATATTCTTTTACTTTCACATCATCTCATGCTAAGGTTTGGTAAAGCCCCTTTCTTATTCATTTTTATCTATTTTACATGAATATTGAGATCATATTTGTCGCAAATTAATGGCAATTGAAAATATCTGATGGTTTTTATTCGAATTCTATATCCAACGTTGAATAATAATTTCCGCAGTCTGGACCATTTGGGAAGGGTTAGCCTACAAGTTCAAGGAGAACACCTTAACCTCTAGGCCACGAGAGCCCCTATATATATATATATATATATATAAATTTATGAAGAAAAGTTTTCCAATCTAGCCTAAATTGCTGTGGAAAAACAATTAAGTTAAGACAAATTGATACAAACTTCTGTGCAAAGTATGGAAGACACTGATTCACCCGTTAAAGAGATAAATTTGAAAACAAGTTGCGCCACAAACTTTTGATCGCACTATAGCTGCCACACACCCCACACCCCCCTCCCCCCGAACCTGAAGTAAAAATAAAATGTGAGGGGTTACAGGGGGGCATGCCCCCTGTTTTTCCCTGTACTTTGATGTTTTGCAATTAGGTTTGAATTTTTCTTCAAAATAATTAAGTTGGGTAAATTTTTACTTTCATTCCCACACACAGATATGCACTGCTTTGAGGGTCAAACTGCAATATTATTTGCTGCAAATCACACATATATAGCCACTAAAACTGTCGCAAATCAATTATTTTCAAGAAAATTTATTTCAAACCTAACTGCAAAACATCAAATTATAAATCAGCCTGTAACACCCCATATTTTTCTTTTACTTCAGGGGGGCAGGACCCCTGAAACCCCCTGATTGTCCAAAGCGTGGCGGAATTACCACGCAATTAGGCTTAGTGTGATAAAGTTCCATTGGGTACATTTTCACTTTTACACCCACACACAAATGCACTGATTTCAGGGCGAAACTGCCATAATTTTTGCTGCAGAACACACCTATGGCTACTAAAACCCTTGCAAATCAATTGTTTTCAAGTAAATATGTCAATCCTAATTGCCAAAACATCAAATCATGGTGAAATGCAGGGGGGTATGCTCCCCTGAAACCCCGTAGACTCCTTTTAGGTCCCCCTGAAGCTTCCCATGTTGTTAAAAACAAGTCAAATATTACTACGCCATTGGTCCCACTGTAATATAGAGTTCTGTTTTCAAACATCAATAGCTCAATAACTATTGATTTGCTGCAAAAATGAAGGCCATGATTATGATATTCGTGTTCAGCATGCAAAATACTACTAGAAAAAAAGTATATAAAATGTGTACATGACACACGTGCATGAGTAAAAAAAGAAGGGGCCAAGGAGTAACAGTAGAAAGGCTGCAGAAAGAGTCAGGAGCCTAGACGAGGGGCAAAGGAGGTGGGGGCAGAAAGTGGAGATGAAAGCAGATGACAGAATATTGTTAAAGAGCAGGAAAAGAGGTGAAAGGAGACAATTTTAGAGAAGAACATTTTCCGTTGCTACCCGGATTCTAACCCGGGACCTTTGAATGAGAGGCAGACACCTAAACTTCTAGGCCACGAGAGCCCCCTGATCCGTGTTCAGCGCATCAATTCAAGAAAATGGACACATATTAGGCCAACTAGCTAAATATGTGAAACGAGAGGGAATGTAAAAGCTAAAAAAATACCTTCATTTGCAAGTTTTTTTTACATGAAGCTACAGCGAGCACCTGGCACACCTCTGTGATTGGCCAAAATATAGATGACATATAATACCACCTATTTTTGCCGTCTTCCAGGGCTTCCTCGCCAGCTGTTGACTAGATCTGACCATGGCAGATAAACTTTCCCGCTTACCATACGATGGGCTACGTCAAGAGGTTTCATAGCCGACTGCTTGGGCTGTGTGTGCGAGCGTGTGTGCGTGCGCGCGCACTTGTGTGAGTGTGTGTGTGTGTGTGTGTGTGCGCGCGCATGTGTGTGTATGTGTGTGCACGCGTTTGTGTGTGTGTGTACAACTTTGAGGAGAAGGTAAATTTATGAAGCGAGAATTGCTGAGATTGTCTATAGATAGATAAAAGATAACACAAATTAATACCAGAAAAACAAACATGGCGAGATCTAGTCAACAGTTACTGGCGAGGGAAACCCAAGAGTCATGGGGGAAACCCCAGAAGAAGACAAAAATAGATGGCAGAAATACGTCATCTATGGGCCAACCACAGAGGTGTGCTACAAAGAAATCTAGGTGCTCGCTGTAGCTTCATGCGGTTTTTTGTGGCAGTGACCATCATATTATATTATATCATGATCTGCAGACAAAACAAATACTGCAGTTTGACCCTCACAATCATCTGTGGGCGGGAGTAAGTAAAAGTTTGGGAGGAGTTCCGAAGAGGACCGGCACTTACCGTGACATGGTCTACTACTGAGCAAACTATACAAGGGTTAGGGTTATGGTTTAGGGTTAGGGTATACCCCGTTCAAAATATCCCATCTTTTGTGCTTTGACGATTGACCGGCCCTCTGAAGCACCCCTTTGAAAAGTTTATCTTTATTATTTGGACGGCTCTTTTTCTCCGAACGTTCGAGAAAATAAACATGAACTCTTTCTCCGAACGGTTCTGTTCTCGAGATTTGTTGATAATAATTGCGAATGGAGTTGCCTGTATGTGTGTGTGTGTGTGTGTGTGTGTGTGTGTGTGTGTGAGTGAGTGCGTGTGTGTGAGTGTGTGTGTGTGTGTATGTAAGGTGTGAACGGGGCGTGGGGGCGGGGAGGGGGGGGCGTGGAGGGATTTTTTTTTTACACAAAGGGTTTTTAGATTTGCTGGGAGACTAAATGCAAAATAGGTTACTGCCAAGATCAATCAGTCTTGTTTTCTCGCAGTACCTTTCGAAGGTATTTTCAATTGAAGTATAGTCCGGGAACGTTGCCCCAACCATAACTGAAGTATCTGAATATTCAGATATTTAAAAATTTCTAGCTCTAGAAATTGAATTCTATGCAAAAAATCCTTCTTCCCAGTCCTCGCAAAATGAAAGATGACGTCTAAATCTCGCAAAAAACCAAAAAATCTCGAGAACAAAAACCGTTCTGAGAAAAAAATAGAGTTCAAGTTATTTTCCCGAACGTTCTGAGAAATAGGCCTAAACATCTAGATCTAGATCTAGTCACTTCGTTATTATTTATTACGGAGTGTCTACGTACACGGTAACCAGGCACCTAGCCTCAGTGTCTACGTACATGGTAACCGGTAACCGGTCACGTAGTCTCAGTGTCACATACACGGTAACCGTGCAGTTCAGAACTCCAAGTTCAGTTTTTGTCATCTGGTGTTGCCTTCATCCCCACCCCTCCCCCGACTGTATCTTTTGAAAAATAATAATCTCCCCCCATTCCGGAGCCCTCTATACTTCGCAGCCCACAGACTTTGAATGAACTTTGGTGACTCCAACCGGTACTCACAATGTGATGCGCATGCACAGGTTCACTGACTGGTCACGATGGCGAGCCTGACACACAGCGTCCAAAATTCCATCTCAGCGATCTTTTAGTTAGTCTGGGCCCCCCGTGGAAGGCCATAAATCACCGGCAGGTGACCTGCTATTTCACGCGTCAGGTCGGGGATTGACCGCGGTCAACTCGTGCACAGCACGGTCCTATCTTGTCCTTATCAGAACATGTTTCTTCCCCTAATTTCATGCGCCGTAAAATGATGCTCACTCTACCCCTAGAATCTATTTCTTCACCAATTTCGCTTCGTCTACGTCTTCTTGGTATCTTGTGAAAGTTTCAACAGTTTTCACAGATTCGTTT